ATATATTTTTTTTTGGATTTTCTAGATGATGGTTAGTGGATAGATATACAGATAAAAAGTGTACACTGGTAGGACAAACTTGGGGTATGACAGGACCTAAAGAGATTTTTTTTATCAGGGAGGCTGAGAAGATTTCACAATCCTGCTTCTACGTATTTCCATGTGCAATAGAGAATTCAAGGCTTATGTATTTATAGGTAGAAAATGTTTGTTTGTTAGTCGATTTTAGCGAAAATTATCTTGTATTAATCGACGAAAAATATTATTTTACCCAAAACAGGTGAGAAGCGGGCGTTTACATCACATTGAATGGATTTACAAATCAACATTCACGAGAAAACGTCACTTATCTCAACTCAACGATTGTGGATGAAGCATTGTTTCGCATTATCTTAAGACAAAATATCTTTCATTTATAAAAAGGTTTTTGAGATCACACAGCGGCAAGAAAAAAAAAGACTTTGATTGGTTGAATGTATTTTATAAGTGAATGACAATTGTTTAATGAGAACAAGACATAAGTCTTTGAATTAATCATTCGGGGTTGCACTAGAATGTTAGATTCCAACGGTCCTTTTTCATTCAAGGTTTATTAAGAAAAAATTTAATGGACAACGAACGTTCGATAAGAACAAGACATGTGTTTTTGAATCAATTGTTCAAAGAGTTATGCTAGAATGCTAGATTTCAATGACCTTTATTTTTCCAAGTTAATTAAGTATTTTTAAGAAAGAAAGAAAATAATGAACGATTAATGCAAAACATGTGGCTCGAGACCGATCATTCGAGGGTTCACACCGGAATGTTAGATTCCAAGAGTCCTCTTCTTTCGTATTTATTTAGAAAAATTTTGATATTCCGTTTGATTTAGAAAATAGTTTAACTGTGTAGAATTATGATTTGATTAATATTTGAAGTTAATTTGAAATGGTTTTAAATTTCAATGTTAGTGAGATGATTATTTACATATGTTAGGACATGAATATGGGTAAAGATTGTATAATTAAACGGCTAAGCACATCACAAATTCCTGAATAGATCATTAAACAATACATTTAGTAATTAGAAAATAATCAATTAAAACTATGATTGACTAATCAATAAAAATTAACAAATAATTAAACTAAACAAAATAAAATAAAATAAAAGTAAAATAAAACACTAATTACGAGAGTGCACATGGGAGGTGTAAGCCAGATGTCTTTAACAACATAAACCTAATTTAATAAAATAAAAGATATTAAAGTTATGATGTTAATATTAAAGAAATAAAATAAATAATACTAGTAAATGAAGGGGCAGCGCTGCTTACTACAAGATCCTCTCTTGTTAGTTTTTTAAAACATAAATGCTCAAAAAGTATACATGTTGCATTCATATTGCTCATTTGGTTTCAAAGTTAGTGTGTTAATGAATCATTCCATTGTATTTGTTGGCATTGTTGGAAGGATGAATGTGCACCGTGTGTGGAGGTAGCAAGGAAATGAAATAGTTTTGATGCTTTATGAGAAAAGATGGAAGAGAGGGATAATGGGGTTTCGTGTGATGCAACCGGCGGTCATAGGGAGCTTTTACGGAGGGGAAATGGAAGACGAGGGGGGTTTAGGTGAAGTTATGGTGTGTGAAATAGCGATTATTCTGACTGACAATTTAGACGTCATGCATGATGAAATACATGTTACATTATGCAGATAATATTAAAATCATGATAAATGTATTGATTTAGCGATTCATTGTCAAAATTGAAGTATGACAATAGTGATGGAGTATGCGGCTAGCGGAGAATTCTTGGAGAGAATATGTAATTCTTGACGGTTTAGTGAATACGAGGTTAATAACTTTTGTAAGAAAATTTGCAGGAGTGGAAATGCTTCCAGTATTTTCTGTGTATTGTTCGAGCTGGATTGAGTTATAGAGTTTGGTTCATGTTTTTGTTGTTGGAGACATATGCACTCGCAGATTGATGAAATACGGTCAAATTTGATTGTTAGTTTTATAAATAACCATGATTCTCAAAGTGAAAGTATTATTTAATTGAATACATAAACTACAGAAGCTTTGTGAATACATAAATTACACAAGTTTAATTACATTTTGGTGGTGAGGCATTTTTATAAATATCAATCTCATTGACGAATGAACATATAGTTAACTATTCATATTTAGTTTCATGACAGCGTCTTCTTTTATAGTATGCAAAAATAGAAAGTCAACAAAGTATCAATATAACATTGTGACAATGTCTCATTTTAATATTACATCTCAATACTTCATTTTATTTAATAATTATGTTAAGAATTCACAAAATACATACATTCTAAAATATAAAATTAACATGAACTATGTAATTATATTTATTTTTGCTTATATTTGTTCTCCTATATAATAAAATTTGTTTTCTCATATCGTAAAAATATTTGAAATAGAAAAAATTTAATTATTAATTCAATTATTGTTATAAATGAGAACAATTTTACTATCGATCAAAATATTTTTATAAATAATATTAAAATTAAAATTAATAATTATATAGGAAAAAATACGTTATTGATTAAAATATTTTTATATAAGGAAGAAAATACTATTGTTATAAACGGGAACAACTTTACTATTGATTTAAATGTTTTTATAAATATTGTCAAAACAAAAATAATATTTAGATTCAAATATTTTTATAAACAGAAATTATTTTACTATTAATTCAAATATTTTTATAAGTAGTGTCAAAACAAAATTAATATTTATACACGAAAAAAAATACATTGTTGATTAAAATATTTTTATAACGAAAAGAAAATATTACCGTTATAAACGGAAACAACTTTACTATTGATTCAAATATTTTTATAAATATTGTCAAAACAAAAATAATATTTTGATTCAAATATTTTTATATACGAGAACAACTTTACTATTGAACCAATTATAATTATAAATAATGTCAAAATAAAAAGAATATTTAAATACAAAAAAAAATTGTTAATTAAAATATTTTTATATACAAAAACTAATACTCATATTGTTATAAATAGAATTAATTTTATTAATAATTCAAATATTAAATAATAAAAATATATTCGACCATTATTTTTAAATATATGAAAAAGGTTATGAAGCTTATTAAAAAAGTTTGAATAAATATCTAAAAATTATATTCTTTCTTATAACATAATTGTCTTATTTGTTAAAAAAACCTAAACAATTAATTTATGTAATACAAGTTTCAATAATTTTTTTAAAGCATATTATTTTTAATATTGTTGTTTATCTTTCATATTCTATATATATTATATTTCAACTTAAATTTATTATTATTCTTAGATTTATTTATTTTTTCAATTTTCTACTTTTATGATAATTTGCAAATAAATTCACGTCCAAAATCATCCCCCGTGCTAATTTTTATGACAGTTTACATGCAAATATGCATTCAAAATATTATCTCACCCAAAAACATTCATGGATTTGTTACTAAATGAATTCAACAACACATTATAATTTCACTAAGTAGGATACAGGGATACTACATAATTTAGAAATAAGTCCGGCGCAATTGTTCATTAATAATATTGCCATTCCTTTTTTACTACATATATGATATAATTAAACACACTTTAAAATGTGGATTATTCAACTGTACGACTAATCAAAATTTCACAAGTTTCATTTTGATATAAATTAATCATATATTCAACTATATTAACTACAATTTCATAATGTTGCAACTTACAAGTGTAGGGAAAACTGAGTGTCCATGAGACATTTTTGTTTTCCACACCAAAGTGTTTGTTGCTACATCTGAGTGTCCATGAAACATTTTTGTTTTCCACACCAAAGTGTTTGTTGCTACATCTAACTGACTCTCTCAAATCTTAATCAATCTACAGTGACTTTACTGAGTGTGTAGCAACATTACTCTACCCTTTGTAGATTCATTCCTATGATTTCATTCACTTTCCCATGTGATTTGATTATTGAATCCTGAATAAGACACGCAGGTTGCTGCAAATGTGCTAATTGTGGTTGAAACTGCCTCGTATTGTACCTTAAAGATGTTTGACATATTACCCCCACTGAATAGAACATCTCTTTGAAAAGCAATTAGTTTGAACTGAAGGGACTGTTAAGTTTTACAGGAATAAACATCAAAGAAATAACAGAGCAAATTGCGACCAGAAAAGTTTCTTTCTTGAAGTAACGGGCACAATTAACGATAAAATCGTTCTCATTTGTTTATTGAGAAGATTAAGGCATGCAGCACATTTTCACCAATAGGGGCACCATGTTCGGTGAATGAAGTTTCACCAGCTGCACATTGTAGACATCATCCTTCATTGCAATAAAGGAAATGTAATGACTTTTTCCTGATGTTGGCATAGAACACAAATTAAGAACCACTCTGCAGCTTCCATCTAAACCTCACTACAAATCCATTTTCCATCCTGGCTACAAGAAATAACACTGACACGGATGTCGACCACATTATTGACATCAGTAATAATTTGGACATCAGATGTAAAGTGTCAATGGAGTGCTACATGTCCTGGCCAAGAAGACACATCAACTTCCAAGCATTATATAAATATTTCTATCGCGGTTGATAATCAATCTAATCTGACACGGCAGAGAATGCATGAAGGGCGAAGACATCTTACAGAATCATGTTTCACCATTATTCCGGAGTTATGCTGCCACCAAAAGCCTATTGCATGGTCATATGTCTATATTGATCAAGAAACAGTAACTTCTTCAGCAATTTAGGAGGATGGATCTGCTGCAAACCATAATTGTCCAGGTTCATTACAACGAGATTACACACGCCTATCCTCAGGTTTAAAAGCAAAAAGTATCTATGAAGTTGAAAGAATAGATCCATACTAGATCCAAGGTTTCAACCTTGCTGTCAACTACATTCCTCAAAAGAGCCCTGTGTTTGGACTCTAAGATCGGACAATTCTGCATTGAGTCGTGAGGACTTCGTGCCAAACAGATCCAAGTGTTTACCAAGAATTTCCAGGTGAAATTAAAGCTGGACCTGAAAATATACATCGATACAATTGTCATTTATCAAAGACACCACATATATCACTTTTTAAATCAATCAGCAATTAAAAGAAAACAAAATTCTCAACTGATATGGCGATATTTTATGATGATATGATGGTGCAGCTATGAAGTACAGACACCTCTAAGAGTAGGTGTGTTGCAGTGTCCGACACTTGTATGACACATGTACGACACATGTTGGAAAAGTTAAAGAAGTGTCGGAAAAGTCAGACAAGTGTTCACTAAAAAATATTGTTTTTCTCTGTTTTGACACTGTTCGAATCAATGGTTGACACCCGTATGACACTCATAACAAATATGTCAGACAATTCAGACAAGTGCTTCAAACAAAATTTGTTTTTTTCCTTTGCTATAATACACTTTTATACATATTTTGAACAAATTTCACAAATTTAAAATTGTAATGCGTATAATTAAATAATCTTATCAATAAAGAATTAAAGACATTAATTTTGATTAGAATATTTTCAATTTTTTTAATCATAGATGGATAAATAAAGTTAAATACGCAATTATATATTGCGGTCGGTGTCCTATGTTTTGACATTATTAGTGTCAGAGTGTCCATGTCGTGTTGTGTCCCGATGTCCGTGTCGGAGTCTGTGCTTCATAGTGGTGCAGTGTGTTGAAACTTGAAAATAAAATATCAGGTTTAAACTTTTAAAACCCATGCTTTGTTTACGACATGCATTTACAATCATGTTGTATAAACAACTTCATTAATCACTTGTAGCCTAAAAATTTAATACATAAGTTCTGATGAATAAACTAAGTTCTGATATAAGTTATTTCCACAAGCCAAAGATTTAAGGTTGCACACCTGAATCAATTCTGACTTTTGAATTCCCATAATCATCTTCAAGTACATAAAGAAGCTTCCTGTAAGTATGTCCATCTACAAGGTCCTTTTCTTGCAAGTCTTGCAGAAACCTCATGGCCTCTTGAACTTTTCCTCCTCTACATATCTCATCCAGTACAGTCCTGTATGTAATAAAATCAACTGATCTTTGCTTTTCAATCATCTCCCATAGATAATTTACTGCATCCTTAATCTCTCCGACAAGTGCCAAAGAATTGACAAGCGAATTATAAGATTTACTATTCGGGGTAAAACCTTTGGTCTTCATTTCATGATACAACTCTTTGGCATTCTCTGTTCTTCCTTTGGCACACAACCCATGAATCAAGTAATCGTAAGTTAAAGAATTGGGTTCGCAATCATAAACAACACCCATCTGATGAAATATCCTCAACGCATCGTTAATATGAAGAGAAAGCACATAACCTTTTATCATAGAATTCAACGAAAAAATATCAGGTTCGATCATGTCGTTCACCATTTGCCTGAACAAACATCTCATAGTCTCCATATACACAAGATTTATATAAGCATTGTGTCCTCTGCTCAAAAGTGCACCAAAAAGAATATTATACGTTTTAATCGAAGGCCTAAGACCAAAATTTGGATTTCTACTACTCTTCATGTGCTTAAACACATTAACAGCTTTCGTCAACTTCCGCGCCTCAGTGAAATAATATATGACCATATTAAACACCGCCTCAGACCCAATAGAAGGAACCGCAAGCAACTGGTTCACAATATCATCCATTTCTTGATACATTTTCGCATCACCTAGCTTCTTAATGGTGACATGAAATGTCGACAAATCATGCCGAAACCTAGGCTGGTGAGACGCCCAATGAAAAAGCTCTAAACAAACTAAAGGATCGCGTTGAAGAGAAATAACATAGCATAGCTCTTCAGGAGTGAACCTTGGGAGAAGCTGGGACTGTGCAAACTGAAATTGTGCTTGGTCTAAAATCGGCTTACTGGATTTCAAAAACCGATTTCGAACTCTTCTTCTATAAGACCTTGAAGGAACTCTAGTTGAATAATGATGAAAATTAAAGCTTATAAGTGGAAACAAAACAGGAAATTGAGTATAACTATATTTCCCAATTGAATCATTGAGAACAAATAGTTCAGGAAATTTCTGCAAAAGTAGATTCTCATTTGAGCTATTTCTTTTAAAGTGGCTACAATATTTCAAGCAATTTCTACCAAAAGATAACATTTTTGTGCAGTGTTCAAAGAAATTGATTCTTCTTCCTCAGCCACGATTTACAACCTATGTGAAATTAACCTAAAATATATCAAAATTTAAGGTGGAAAAAACAATAAGTGATAATGGTAGATTAACATTGGCAACTAACCTAGTCGATGAGATTCCGGCAACACTGAAGAGAATCGTGATTCGTGTGATTTCGGTGATTGAAACTGTGATTGAAGAGTGAAAACAATACAGCGGAGGGTGAACTAAGCTCAAACATTAAAGAATTAAAAATTAACAACAAAATTAAAATTAAATTAAACGAATACATTAATGGCTAAATAACTTTTTTTTTTCTCATTTATACTTAAGGAGTCCAATGATATGTGACTTTAAAAAAATAATTAATAATTTCATATTTTTCTAAACAATGCTATATACGTTTTTTTCCTAATCAATTTCATATCTTTTATTTCAACCTCTTCGCTTAAATCATGTTTAAAATCTTCGATTTCCTACTTACAATTTGTTGTTATCAATAGGCCATCAACATAGAAACATAGTATAAGAAATTCATTATTGATTCTCTTTATATATACTCCATGATCAGTTCTGCACTTCACAAATTTCTTCTCTCTTAGAAAATTGTCAATCTTCTTATTCCAAGCTCTTGGAGCTTGCTTAAGTCCATACAAGACTTTATGCAACCTGTACACCTTTCTTTCTTGGTCTTGTTTCACAAACTCAGTTATTTGTGCAACATAAACTTCTTTATCTAAGGGGTCATTTAGAAATGCACATTTCATATTCATCTGACATGTGTGCCAATTTTTCATGTTTGTTAGACCAACAACCAACCTGATTATTTCGATCCTAGCAATAGGTGCAAAAACTTCGTGGAAGTCGATTCCTTCCTTTTATAGAAATCTTTTCGTTACAAGTCTCACCTTGTGTCGAGTTACTTCTCATTTACGATTCACTTTCACCTTGTAAACTCATTTCACATCAATTGTCTTCTTTCCTTTAGGCAATTCGACAAGTGAACAAGTATTGTTGACTTCGATGGACTCTAACTCCTCATTCATTACTTTCACCCACTTAGAAACTTTCAATGTCTCGGCTGAATTAGCTGGTTCGGCATCTGCGTAGAAAGCATAGTGTATCAGCTCACCTTCTTCATCAACCACATCATCTGATGTAATCACACATTCTTGCAACCTTGCAGACATGTGTCTTGTTCATTGAGGTCTGCTTGGGTCTGCTTCACCTCTGACTTCTTCTTGTTGATATTCTCTTTCGAATTCACTAGCTGGTTCTTCACATGAGATTCTTATTAAATTCTTCTTGATATTCTCAGTCTAATATCATTCCTTAAGCTCATATATGATCCCGTTCCTATTGATCACTACTTGCTTGTTCACTGGGTCGAACAACTTGTATCCTCTGGTCAAATGATATCCACTTAGGATCATTTGACTCGACTTGTCATCAAGTTTTCTTCTCAACTGATCTGGCACATGTCTATGTGTTATAGATCTAAATACCTTCAAATGACTTAGGCTAGGTTTGACACCATACCAACATTCTTCTGGCGTAATTCCTTATAGTTTCTTCGTCAGACATCTGTTCAAAATATATGTTGCAATCGACATGGCTTCTCATCATAATTCTTTAGGTAGATTCTTTCCTTTCAACATACTTCTCACCATGTTCATGATGGTTTTATTCTTCCTTTCTGTTGTTTCATTCTGCTGTGGAGTGTAGGATTGCACCACCTCATGCATAATCCCTTCTTTATCACATAATGCATTGAAATCTTTCGACACATACTATCCACCACCATCAGTCCTCAGAATCTTTAGCTTTTGACCACTTTTTCTTTCAACCATGAATTTAAACTTGGCAAATACCTCGATCACTACACTTTTCTTCTTGATCAGGTAAGTTCACAATTTCGACAGAAATCATATATGAATGTAACAAAGTATCTGTTACCTCTAATCAAATTCACCTGGATAGTACCACATACATCAGAGTATATGACTTCGAGAGTTTTCTTCGACCTACTTTTTGCATCCTTGCTGAATCTATTCTTGTGTTGTTTCACCTGAACACATTATTCACACATTTCACTTGGAATGTCAATTTATGGTAATCCTAAAATCATATTTCTTCTCTTCAACTCTCTGATGTCTTTGAAGTTGAGATGGCCAAGTCGATAATGTCATATCCATTCATCTCTACTGGCTACAGTTGCAAGGCACTTATGTTCCATCATATTAAGTTCAATCTTGAAGGTTTTATTATGAGACATTGGAGGCTTCAAGATTAACCTACCACCTGAGTCAAGAACTCTTATCATTTTGTCTTTGATCGGTACCTTGTAGTTCTTTTCGACCAACTTCCTTATACTGAGCAAATTACTCTTCATGCCTGGTATGTACAATACATTGGAAATTATTGATCTCTTGCCATCTTTCCTCATAATCAGAACATCACCAATACCTTCAGCTGCTATAGTACTGTCATTTGCAAATTTCACCATGTTCTTCATTGAGGGCTTTATATTGACAAACCAATCTTTTCTTCCAGTCATTTGTGATGAGCATCCTGAGTCCAAGTACCACTGATCCTGGAATATTTCTTCATCTTTTATTGTGACCATCGACGATATCTTTTCTTCTAAATGTTTTTCCAGCTTTGCATTAGTTTCTTGATTCTTCTTCTTTTCTGGACAATCACTAAAATAATGACCATACTTCTGACAATTGAAACATTGAATGTGACTTTTTTCAAGTTTTCGACCACCACCTCTTCCTCTACCTGCAGCACTACCGCTTTGGTTGCCTTGGTTCCAGAGTTTTCTCTGATTTGACCAGTTTCCTTCCTGTTGATTTCGACCAGCCGAATTGTTGTAGCCTCATCAACCTTTGTTGCCATTCCAGATTCTTTTGTCTTACTTTTCTTTTTATGACTGCGCCTGCAAAGTCATATCACTCTTCGACTTTACTGTAACTCTTTCAATCATACTTTATTCATGAGACTCAAGCGTCCCTTAAATATCTTTCTTCGTCAATGCTGACAAGTCTTTCGGCTCTTCTATGGCTACTACCACATGATCGAACTTTGGAGCCAATGACCTCAAGATCTTTGCAACAACTGATCTTGATGTCAACGCTTCTCCACATACCTTGATTTGATTTACCATTTTTGTAACCCTAGTGAAGAAATCTGTTATGCTTTCACTGTCTTCCATCTGAAGCAATTCATAAGTTTTTTTTGTGAGTTTGTAATTTCACCTCTTTTACCTTTTCTGCACCTCCAAACGATTTTTCAAGCATCTCTCAGGCTTCTTTTGCTGATTCTACATCACTAACCTTTTCAAAATTATTTGGATCAACACATTGATGAATTATAAAGAGAGCTTTCTAACCTTTCTTCTTCAATGCTTTGTGTGCAGCCTTTTCTTGATCTGTCGCATATTCTACAAGCGGTGTTACTCCTTCCTTCACAAGATCCCAAAGATCTTGATAACAGAAAACAACCTTAATTTGCTTGCATCAATTATCAAAATTATCATTCTTGAGAATCATAAGGTTCGCTGGAAAGTTCTTTTTTGGATGATTCATTGCCATCACGATTTTGCTTCCTTGAATCGCAATCGGAGCTCTAGATACCAGATGTTGGAATTCAACCACAATCTATGAAGAAATTCACTCAATATTTATGAACAAGATTGTTATCAATCACGCAATAACAATGGGAAAAAAGTTGAGAAATAAGGAAAGAAAATAACATTGGAAAAAAAGAATATTTTCTGCAGAGTTTCTCTCTGTCCACAACCTGTGGAAAATTTCTTTATTCATTTTGCAACTGCAATAAATTTGTGAATACAATGTTATCAGTTGTTTACAAAATAAGGGTTACTCTTTATTTATAGATTTAGGTTAGCTTACATCCTAAAGCAAAACACAACTAAAAAAGCCCAAAAAGAGTTAACACTACTAAAATAGCCCTAAGTCGACACAAAGAATTACATTCTCAACATAATTTTTATTATTTGAGATACAAAATTCTTATTTTTAAATGTCAAAAAAAATTCTTTTTCTCACCGGTCACTTTCAATAAAATATTTATTTTATTTTTGTTCTGAACTGGGTCGGGACCTGCCCAACCCAACACTATATTGGGAAGGTCCAATAAGGCTCAATTCTCCCATGTCGGGCAGAAGACTCCCTTCACGGGAAGACTCACACGTTTTCCCCATGCGCTCCCCCATGCGGGGACATGTCATCAGACAACTACCCACCTCCGAAAGAGTTGGTCAGCCTACCTTCCGAAGATCATGGGGCAGTTGATCTAGGACAAAGACCATGTGTTGGTCTTCACTATGCCATGTAAGCCCTAGCAGTTGCTTGGCTTGGACCTGGCAGTCTGGCCCAACACAAGTAATCGTTGACCCTGCGCTGGGGTTTCTCTATAAATACCTGCTTTCACTAGAGGGTCAGGTATTTCATTCTATACCTACTTCTGTATTTTCTCTCCCACTCTGATCCTTTACTTACTTAAGCATCGGAATGCCTTGCAGGTACACCCCCTTCTTCTTCCTACCTCTGGTGGAAGTTGCCAGTCGATGATGCGTGGCAGACCAGTGATCCCTTCTGATCAGGTACGATCAGTGGCGCCGTCTATGGAAAAGTAAAGCTTCCCTATTCTTCCGAGTAGTAGAACCAAAGCTTTCATTAACTTATGTGATCATGACCAGCCCACGCCACGACGATGTTGTCCATAATTTTGCCTTCGACCCACTCACCAACAAAGAAGACCATGGTGGGCCCATCAACAACCATGACAGTGACGTTAGGAATGGGCAGACTGCCCCTCCTTTATCCGACGATGTGACACGCAACGCCGCCCCTCGAGCAAGAAGCACAGATGCTTTCCAGCCTGTCCTCACGCCAGCATGGGCGAATCCGACGATGACTGCCCTCTTCACAGCCATCAGCCAAACTAATTTGATGTTG